ATGTGAACTGGCTGTATTTTGTTTTAAAGCTTTCTTAACTGGGTGGTGTTATTTCTTTTATCATTTTACTCTCTTTCCTTCTTTTATATCCTTTTTAATATTATTTTAACTGTAAGTGTTTTACCACTTAAAAATTAAGGATAGGTTTTTATAAATAAAAATGTGAGTGATTATATATATATATATATTAGTACCCAGCATAAATTTCCTATTTTTCATTATAATTTTCAGTACCTGATTTTCATACCTAAATAATGTTTTTCAGTTCCTATTAATGTTAACTCAAAATACAAAGTTTGAAGTGCCTGCATGTAAAATATTTCAAATAAAGATTTATATTTAATATTTTTTTGATATTTTCAAAATTGGGTATGATATACCCATGGTTAGTAGTGGTTTTAACTTTAATTGATGGTTAGTGTTCTAGGATTAAAAATAACTAATAAGCATACCATATTATAAATTTCACTGTTCTTTCTCATTATTTTTATATATATATATATATATATATATAAATTTAAATTATGTAACAGTCCGTCTTAACTCAGCACCTGAAGATTGTGTTGTGTATGAAACTCAGAGTTGTTCTACCAATGAAGAAAAAAATGTATGTAATATATAATTTATAGCTCTGTCATTGAGCACTATTTTAAAAAAAAAACAGCACTCAATGTGCTGTATATACTAATAACACTAGTTTACCTATGCTGTTAAAAATGCTGACATATAAGAAACAATTCACTATTGTCATAATGCAAACAATATCATCTGATGCAACCAGTGCAAGGGAGATAACCCTATTATTATAAAAGTTTACTGATATTACAGGAAACAAAAAAAAACACTTGATGTATTTTATTATGTATTAAATCCTTCCAAAAAATCTGATGTTTAGTCATTAGGATCAGATATTGGGAAATGAATTGGGTTTTGAAAACTTAATGTGAAATGACATCCTCAAAGGAAATAAAATTGACTAAAAATAAGATTTTTTATTTCTTGGTGAAGTGCTTTCAAGAGATGTATGAATTGCCATATGAAATATGAGAAACCTAGGAAAAATTGACAGATGAATTTGAACACATTCAATACATTTTTTTCCTTAATAAATTACACCCTTTTTGAATGAAGACTGCATACTTTAAGTTAAAATTATGGTCAGGCCTATTATAATGAACCAGTATATTGTTTTTATAAAAATCTCTTTTGCATTCATATAAACTTTCAGAGATATTACACTAGACACCTTCAAAAATTTTCTAAAGAGCATTCCATGATGGAAAAAGGCCTGAAACTTGATAAAAACAAAGTTTTATCATCAAAATATTTATGTTATTATTAAGATCAAAGTATTTTTTTATTATTTTATTAAATTTAATTCTTTCTAGCATGTTTTAAATTTTGGTTAAAATTCTTGTTTTTCAAAGAATAGTATAAGGATTTTTAGCATCTCTTTTTGGAATTAAAAATACATTATTTTGAAAGTTCTTGCAAAAATCAAATAATTGTCAGATTTTAATTAAATTCTCAGAACTTATTCACAAATGAATTAAATTATTTTTAAAAAATTATTTTTTTCTTAGAAAATCTAGGTAATTTACTTAATTTTATGAAATTTCGAGAAATTAAAATTTCAGCCTCTTCATATTGGAGAATTTAAATCATCAATTTGTTTTTTGTCAAACAGAAACACCATTTACCAAAAATCTGCACTGAATCATAAAATAAAAACTGCAATAAAACTGACATTTAATTAGAAAAGATTTTAATTGCTTTTATATACAAGATATATTAAGGACACTATTGTCTTAAGAAAAAAACATTTTTTTTGATGAATGATAAATTTTTACAAAATTTTTTTCATATTTTTTTTATTTAATTGGAAAAATTTATTGATTTCTAAATCTCTTAAAATTTTGTATTAATTTCAACCTTTTAGATGATGGAAAAAGGCTAGATATTAATTTATTTATTATTAATTTATCATTTAAGTGAAAACTATATTTACTAATCATAAATAGAAATATGTGTATAAATGTGCTGATTTTTGTAAGTATGGATGACCATGCAGAACATTATCTGAAAAGAAGAGTGATAACTATAGTAAATTTAAAATCGACATTTCTAAAATTTAATCAAACATTAGATTACAGAAAATATTTTCCTAAATTTTTACAATTACTGAGTAGTTAAAAATTATATAGAAATGGTGATCATATCATTTTCTTCAATGATGTTTTACAGATAAAGTCTCTGTAGAACAACATTAAATTTGTCATCAGGCTGTCAACACATCAAAACAACTACTGTCAGGTTAAAAAAATGCATTTCTGCAATATTTTAAAGTATATATTTGTTTCAAATCAGATTAATAATACTTTAAATCAACTAATATTCCTAATGTTTCAGAGAAGTATATTTTATTTTTGGAAGATTTTTTTAATAAAGAGAATTACATTGTGATGAAAGAAAACTAAAGAGAGCATTAATCAGCTATTTTTAGCAAAAAACAAACAAAAAAAAAAAAACCCAAAACTCCTTAAAATGAAATATAGTAAAGTATTTTGCCTATTGGAAATATTAAATAGGTGCATTTATGTATCAGGTTCAGCAATAAATGAAAATTTAATTAAAAGCCTGCCATGTTGTCCCAACTTATAGACAAAACATTTTCTCAGTGCTGAATAAGGCTAATACAATAATCACGACAGTTTTTGAATCAGTATACATTAAGTCCTACAAGCCATCTCTCTGTAAGCAGAAAGAGTTGGTTGGTGGGCTTAAAAAACAATTAGCCTTTACTGTCATTTTTTTTTGTATATAACATTTGCCTAAAATTGTATTTTTTTGTTTAGTTACTATGCACAATTTTTATCCTTGAGTTTTTTGCTCTGATGAGAGAGGATCAATAAACCAGGTTAGCTGTCTTTTTAATTGTTCTTGTATTTCAGTGTTACTATTTTACAGTAATATATATTTTTGTTACTCCTAAATTTTTTAATGAATTATTTCTTTTTTGTTATAAAATGCTTTTTAATATATCTCCTTTTATTACTTTAATAAAATTTTGTGTCTGGTGGACATTAATTTCACTGTTTGAAAAAAAGATAGGAATGCCCACTCATATTGACAATTCAATACAATAAATTTACATCCAGGATCATACAACATATCTGCTTTCCTCACATAACTAATGCTGATACAATATGGGAGATTTAAAAACAATAGCAATAAAAAGAGAAATAAAAGGAATAGAAAGCTGAATTATGCCAACTAAGAAATGCATTTAGATATACCAGGCATTTTTTTTAATCATTCCACCCAGAGCAAGGCAATAAAGCCACTAAGATGCAAGGGTTTACCGAGTGTGAAAGAATATGCAAAAAGAAAAAAAATATGAAAGAAAACATTATTAAGGAGAGGGAACAATAAACAAACAGGAATTAAGACTGAAGATAATGATTGAAATTGCATTTAACTTTTTGAAGATCAACATTAACTGGAAAGCAAAAAACTGGAACATATCTTATTGTTAGCATTCTTTATGTAAAATTGTAACCAACATTTTCTGAATTTCTTCTCCCCCTCCCCCCCAAGTTTCATTAAAAATGACGGACAAGGCACTGCAATTAAGCATTTTATACAATTTTTCTTGTGTTCATAGGATTTCTTTTCTGAACAGAGTGTGTAAAACTGTCCAAATGTTCTATATATCTGACCACTTTCTGCTATTCTATTAGTCATTTTTAAGGATGTTTTTTTTTTGTATTTTAATTTTTTAACTCTTTTATTATTAATACTTCTATTATTTTTAACCTTTTTGTACATCTGGATGAGGCTATTATATTTGTATTTTCTTTGAATATGTTGTGAATAAACATATAAAAAATACAAATATAATAGCTCCATCCACATGAGAGAGAGAAAAATTAATGAATTTTAATCCAACATTATTTTTATTACTGTAAAGGTTATTTTAGTGGCTACACGTTTGAGTGGACATGCTCATTTTTTAATTTCAAACAATATCTCAGCTGGCAGATATTCATTCCACTGTTTGAAAATAAAACAAGTACTCAAACACATATCTCCACTATACATTTATAGCAATAAAAATAATGTCAGATTAAAATCCATAAATTGCTTGAATTACAGTGTTTATTTTCAGATAAAAGAATAAAATAAGCAGATATAGACATTAAAAATCCCAATGAGAGATGTACATTGAAAAATGAGCCATTGAGGTTGAACAGTTAAAGCATACCTTTGTATGTGGTTTCCCGTAATAAAGGGAATGTAAGTTTCATCCCTACCAACATTTCCCTTTCTGTCTAGGCTGTTGGACATTCATTTCAGTTTGAAAACACAAGTATGTCCACTCAAACACATTTCAAACTGTGAAGAAGGCAATGGGAAACCACTGCCCTGTCTATTTCAAAAGAATTCATGGCAATCCCCAGATTATAAGAAAATCTGTGGAGAGTATGATCGCCCATGTCCTGAAGGGACATGGTATTTTAAAACATTTTTTTTGGTAAGTATATCTTAGTTTTATTACAAGGCCTTATCACATGTATGAGATACCCATTGAGAACAAGTCTATCTAGTTTATTAATCATAAAACTGTGCAACACCCTTCTCTCCTATATTGCATTTAGGGTGATGATTAAATATTGTAATAAAAGGCCAACATTGGAAAGATTGTTTATAAGTTTTTTTTCTGAGATAATCTTAATTCCACAATTATCAGAGATCCTTTAAATGCCCAACATAAATTCCTTTTATAACACTAAAGTTCTTATATATTTTTATATTGTAAGAATTTTTTTTAGATAATGATTTAGTAATACAAATCTTACTAATTAACCCATGGCTGGGGGGAGAAGAGATAGATTCACACCTTTCTAAAGAGTATTTTCACATAAGTGACTATAACAAAAATTGATCTCCCTAAGGATCCAGAACAGATATGTTCATACCACATGATTTCTTAAAATGTTTATGGCCACATCATGTTTAAAACACAGATTCCCGTACGATCACCAAAGTTAAGCAATGTCGAGCCAGGTCAGTACCTAGATGGGTCACCACTTGGGAATTAGTTGTGTTAATATGGATAATGGCTCAGAATTGTTAATCGGAGTGCCAAGTTGGGTTTGATTTTTTTAAAATAAGTTTACATAATAAACTAGACTCCTAAAATTTAATTTTTTTTCTAGTCATCTAGTATGCAGATGCTTAGTAATATGAAAAAAAAATAGAGAAAAGATTTTTTTGTGATCACAGGGACTATTGTACAACTCCATCAAAAGATATTGGCAGGGTTAGTTAGTTCAATGAGTTTTCTGTTTTGTTTAAAAAAAAAAAAGAAAAAAGCACGACTTTGAAACAATGAGTTATTGAAGAAATGCTAGGATTTTGTTGAAGCTGTTATAAATAATGAATTACCTCCCTTAGATTTAACTAGCCTCATATTCTGAGCCTTCCTCTAGTAACTATCTAGTTATATTAATAAAATAAATTTTGAGTCCACATGATGCTAGTATACATCCACAAAAGAGTTGAGATACTAAAAAGAAGCTACGAAAGCAAAAAGCTGATAATACCTAAGAATTTTTCCTTTAAGGAATTTGGAAACAAAATTTTCTCAAGTCAAAATAAAAATTAAATTTCACTTTTTGCGTATGAAAAAACTTATATCGAATTTCGAACGCTATTTTTCATTTTATTTCTGATGCACGACTTTTCTGATCCAAAGGATGACTCAGAATATGAAAGTAGGTAAAGAAATTTAAAGGGAGCTAATTCAGTGTTTGCTATGCAAAAAATTGTTTCCAGCGCTAAAAATATCAACAACATGCGAAATGCGTTACCTTTTAGTTTTTTATTTCATTTTTTTCTAGATCTGAATTAAATTTAAACTTTTTAAAAAGAAAAAATAATCTTGCAATCAGATAAATAAAATGTTGACCATGAATTGAATTAATTCTCAAAAAACTAAAAAGTCTATCTTCAAAATAGTAAGAATTTTAGAAAAAACTTTGGAAAATTTTATAAAGCAACCACTCTTTTCCAATATAGTATCTTGAAAACAGTGGGTGCTTTATAAAATTTAAAAAATAAAAAAAATCTTTTATGCTTTTATTTAGAAAAAAAACTTAGATATAAATCAATTTTACATTAATTAAAATTTTTAGTTTATTAATTAAAAAAAAAAGTAATTAAAAAAAGCTTTAAAAACAAAAAATATTTGTCACCATTATTAATAAACATTTTAGTTTTTAAATTTGTTCACGATATATTGAAAAAGAAAAAGGATGAGTGACTGACGAAAAATATTTCCACAAAGTCTTATAAATAATTTTAAAAAACCCAAGTAGTAGTGGATTAGCGTTGATTTTAGTGGCTTTGTTGTGAGTTCATACCCTGGACTGGGTAGTGCAGATTTGGAATTCAGTTGAAACAAAGTGAATTGAATCCTTTTACGTGAATAAATTGTTCCCATTCTGCTGTCTGGAGATATTATTCCGTTCTCTTACTACTCTGTTATTGCTTGTTCTGTTTCCTAGTCCGTTCTGTACTAACCGGCCCAGAGATTGAACTCACCAACAAATTCACGAACCAAATCTTTTATTCTCTCGGCCAAGATGTAAATTTAAATAATGGAAATTCTTCACCCTAGAAATTTTGACAATATGGTAAACTTTCAGACTCTGAAGTAGTCATTACGATCTGGTAACGAGTTTCAACAAGTATTTTTGACTATAAAATGTTTTCTTTTTAAATGCAACAATGGTAACAAAAAAAAAGCTATTCACGACGGCGACAACAAATTAGTGAAAATAAAATTATTAAATTTTTGTTAAAAAATAAATAAAACAGACTTTGAAAGTGGTACAAAAAGCAACAAAAGGTACGATGGTTAGTGTTGAACAACTGTTGTTAATATTGAACTTTACTAAGAAAACAAAAAATAAATAAAAACTCACTTGTAAGAAAAATAAGTAAAAAATGGAAAAGGCTATGTTTTTAGGGATAAAACAAATTCCAAAGTTCTCCTTTATCGCTAAAGACAAGAATGAGCTGTTATTTACTGAGCATGTCTTTATTTTAGGATTCCCAGTGAGGATCAAACTCACTGTTTAATGGTAATGGTCAACCAGACTAGCTCGCTAACCATAAACAAACAGCTCAAAACAAGAATGAGTTATGACTTAAGGGAGGTAACTCTAAATATATAAATAACTGATTGCCTTTTGATAAATGTAAAACTAAAAGTTGTTTTTAGGGTTGATTTGATGTATAAATTCATTCCTTCAGTAGGAAAACTATTTTAAAGTTTATGCTTCTTTCTGCTCCCAGGTTATTTTGATGTATGTGATAGTTACAAAATCATGTATTTACCAAGATTAGCTTACGCTGGTATAAGATCAAAATAATGAAGATTGAAATTGTTATATTAATGCCCAGAAATGTTAGTTAATCACTCTACTGAGACAAACGTGTTGTCTTTGATTACCTTATCAGAGAATTAATTATGGTGATGGTAGGTCTCCTATTAAGCCTGTTTCTTCTTTACTAGTGTTGTATAATGTTGTGAACAATTTTATGGACAGGTCATTTAGGATTTGAAAGATGTTCTCTAGAAATTAAATAAGATATTAAGTGATTGAAAAATGTCCTTAGAAACAAAAGAAAATGCTGGACTGAAGCATAATGCCCAATTACCTATATAACAATGAATGAGTGTAAAATTTTGTCCAAATGAAGATGTAGTAACTTGAAACAAATCCAAATTTAACAATTATTCAGAGCCAATAGGTATACCTTCTTTTTAATTAAAAGAAAACTAAAAGCTTTTCATTTGGACTTCAAAGGATTCAGCTATCAAAATACAGCTGTTGTAATAGTTTGAAAAGAAATAACTTCTACTGGCACACCTCTTCTTCCGTCAACAGTTACCTCAAACCTTTTCTTTCTTTTTTCTTTGTCATTGGTACCCTTTGAGCAACGACCCAATGCTTTCAACGTTAAGACATGACTGTTTTGAATGGACACCCATTCAAACTGGTTTGACAGTTGGTATTTGCCGCCAGTCAAAGGTCACGTGGGACTTATCATATCCCTGCTAATAAGTATCCACGTGCAGACGATCTGCGAGCATCAAGTCATGAAGATGCATTTTCCATCTCTCTCTTCACCATCAAACACCTAGACGTTGGTAATAGATCTTTTATAGTCAACTTCTTTGCCTGAAGCTACCTTCACTATCCTTGATTCAATCCTAGCCCAACCTTTCCGACTTTCCTACATAGTACGAGATTCTCTTCCAAAAAAAAAGAAAAGCAACAAGTATTTGTCACAAACTCTTCCAGAATCTCCATTTGTCAACTACAGCGACAGTGAAAGTCCAAGTTCTACGTACTTACATCCATCTCCGTCGAAGGATTGTCACACATAAGAGAATTCATTTTTCTATAAACACTTACTTAACCATTCTCTTACCGTTACTCATCAATGGCAGGCAACCTAGCATCTTTTAAACAGCCGTTGCTACAGTATCAAGCAAACCATACCTCTCGTCCAAAGCAACCATTAAGTTAAAGAACCCACGAGCCTCCACACGTGGTACTTGTATTTTCTGGAGCTTTCCCTTGGTCTATACTTCATTCTATGTTGACGAACACATTTCTCTTGCAACTTATAAACTCTGCGATTCTATCCTGGTCGAACTCATGACAGAATTTCATAACCTATCGTGTTAATCTGTTCCTAAATCTCCATTGATTATTCTTCTATTCTCCACTCCTAAACTAGCAAGTGCAATTCGGTAAATATATGTCCTACAAAAAACATTCATAGACAAGTTGCCTCCCTTATACCGTTTATTCCAAAAAAAGGAGTTTCTTACAATTAATCTTTCCCACGTCTCCGACTCCTTTCCTCTTCAGGAACATTTGGCACCAAACATTACATTTGGTGGGCAATAACATTCAACCACAACATCAACTGCGCACTTCACAGATTCGTTAGACCTACTATCCAAAAACCAGGAACTTGACATTGCATTCGTTCCTTCTTCATCCTGTCAGTTTGTTATGCCTTTCATACACCATTTGTGTTTGTTCATTCTCTGCCTTTGCTAACTTTGTCAAGAACCATTGATATCCTAAAGGAGTATCAACTACATTTGTACATGGGAGTCTGGTGGTCTTACACAAGGCCATACAAAAGGAAACCGCACTAGGTGACCAGGCTCCTACTATACTTCCTTAGATTTATGAACCAATCAGAATGACTCTCAAAAAACAGCTTATCTGATCCAACTCACCTTTATATAAGGAATACTGTCTACCAGTAGAGCCAGAATAGAGTCTGCTTATTCATCTCTTGATGGTACCTTAGACATGTACTCAATGTACATACACACACGCAATCACAGAACACATAGAACTGTCCACTTTCTAACCTACCCACATATACACTCACAGTTTTTGTACCACTTTCTTTTTCCAGTTTCTGACTGTAATTTCTTGTTGAATAAAAAGATCCATTTCACTTCACACTATCTTCAAAGAAGAAGATTTTATACCATTTGATAAAAATAATCATTTCAATTGTTATTGAAACCACAATCTTTGTCTTCCCATAATTTCATTCACTCATTTTTGTTTTCAGTCAATTATCACAAAGCTGTATTTGTTGTTTCTAGAAGACAATTTATCTGGAGTCAGAATTCAGTGATTGTTAACCCTGCCACAAAGAAGAGACTTGCAGTGACTGTGATGTGGTTCTACCAACAAAAGTTGTGAATACAATGCAGAGATTATGAGAAACAAGAAAAATATAAAGAAACAGTAGGTAAAAAATATAAAGTAACTATCTAAATAATTGAGATACACAATGAGGAAAAAAAGCTTGGATGTAAAAAAGAGGGGTTTTAGTGAGAAGTTAACACCATACTCCATGGAAAATTCCTTTTGCTAGAGAAACATTGACAGGAGATCAGTAGGATAATTTGGTTCTGAGAGGAAATGGGAATTCTTCACAAAGATCATGATATATATGGTGAAAGCTAGAAATCTTTGGAAATTGCAAACTGTCAGAT